CTTGATCTGCTTTTTGTTCCATTGGTATCATAAAAAATTCCTCACACTACTGTTCTTACCATCAAGTTTTCAATAAGGAGCACTTCAGCCCATTAAAAATTTGAGTTTTATAGGATCTATACAACATTTTATTCAATTTAGTGTTGTAACAGTGTTAACTACTCGCATTCACAAAGGCCTTCTTTATTTTCGTTTAATTTTTTGAGAGTAAAGATCACGATTTGCTTTACAAATATTAGAAAATTTCACAATATTCCTTTGGGATGGAAAGGTACTGTTATTATTGCCATTTTACACCTCGGAAACATGCTTCATATGCTGGAATCACATCTGCCATAGATTTCATATCATGAAAGGGGGGGGGGAATCAAAACTTTCATAATACAGAATCTCAAGGCAATCACTCAGAGGAAGCAGCACCAGGAACTGTTAAAACCACTCTCAGAAGCTCAGCAGCTCATACTGCTCATGATTCCAGCTTCCCACATCTGTCCCAAGCTTCCTGCTCAGCACCTCCTAACATCATCGTGCAGACCCATCTCAGCTGTCTGCCTGCCTGCCCTGCACCCCTCCCTCAGGCATGCAACTTTTCATTTCTAGTGCTCTGTTTGTATTTCTTTGCCCAGCAAGTGCCAGACCTCCTCTACTTGAGCTTTTTCTGTTCTTCATACCTCTCAGATCATTCTTTACTTAACTTAGCTCTAGTATTTCAGCCTTAGATCATCAACCTCAGCAAGCCCATCCAACTAAATTCCAGCTCTCCCTTGCATCCTGGCTTCTTGTCCTCTTTCATGCCGAAATCGTTTTCATTTCTAGTTACATTAGCCAATTTTTTCCACCACAAATCAAAAGCTTATTCTCAAGTCTCAGCCCGCTACAACTACAACTGCTGGTTCTGTCATAGGCTCTTGTTCAAACCCTTCTCACTTTTGCGTCTCTCTGCACTGAAATACATCCATTTCCTCCTTTGCACCACCAGTACAGTCAGACATCCAAGCCCACAATTCAGGCAGCCCTCAACCCCTCAGAAGCAAAAGCCCTGTGCAGCCCAAGCAGGAGCATGGTCCAGTATGCACACAGTACTAAGCGAATTTACATACCAAACTAAAGTGAGTTTCTACCCGTATTTCTGACCTGTAATTTTACCTGTGAATTTTGAATGCTTTCAGCTTAACAGAATTTGAGCAGACTTTACTGAGGCAGCAAAATATATGTTCATGACACAGGCTACCCTGCTGCCAAATCTCAAGGTCTTGGTCTTACGTTTGGGTATACAAGAACAAACAAACCGCTGCTGGAATATTCTTAGACGTGGATAGGTGATTGATTTTATTATGTCAACAACAACATAATAAAAATAAGTTCCATCCAAAAGACTAAGAATTAGTGATAACTGAACCCAGTAAATTCTATAAATTGAAAGGGTGGGGACTGCTTACTAATAAATACTGGGTTAAACTGTTTAATGAATCTTCAGAACCCTTTCAAAGAGTTATGAAAATATAATGTAAAAAGGAGGTTTGTACATTATTAAGCTATAAAGAATTCAGGCACGATTCCAGTGGAATTAGTCTTGGATTTCATGAAGCTTTACTCTTGGAAAAAAAATGTGGCTAATATAGCTCAGCAGATAATACGTGTCATTTATTATTGTACTTGAATACATATTTTTTTCTGAAAATAGTAGCACATTCGAAGTTTCCTCAAAAAAGTTCAAACCTGTGGTTGGAAATTTGGATGACAAATGCACCATGAAAGTGCTAAGAAAGTGGGGTTTTTTCCCTTCTCAGACACAGATATAATAAGAAGTCAGAAGAAAAAAAAAGTAAACTCACAGACTGATGGTATGGGTAATATGGTTAATGTCAATTTGGCACTCCTGCTTAACTGCACTGAATGAGAGTAAAAAATTCATTAGATATTTAAAAGTTTTATTTATGTGTGTGTATGTGCATGTGCACACGTGTGTATGCATGCCTACATATATACTAAACTTTTATGTAGGAAACAATGCATAAATGCTATGAAGGAAAAGAGTTGGTAACATTTTTAGCCTGTAAGTGGCAAAATATTTTGCAGTAAAGATAGAAATGGACTTCTAGAACTGTTTCTACAGCTCTGGCTTGGCCACCCAACAATTGCCATCTGTTTCGTGTTCTGAAGGAGATAGTTCTGTCAAATAGATATGATCATATAATTAAGCACAATGACAATGTTTGAGCAGCACAGTTGAACAAAAATTGCATAGGAAATTACAGATTTGGTAGTTCTTGTCATTGCAACCTTAGTGTAATTTCTCACCCTTCTGACAATTCTTGTGTTCATCAGTGTGAAGTTACATGACATAATTTTTTTTTTAGATGGCTATTTTATGAAAAACTAGGCAGTCACATTCACAGTTGTTCAAAAAAAGAATGCAAATGAGATTTACAGACAGCAATTACAATTCAACCTTCCTGAGGACATACATTAGAAATAAGGATGACAAAAGACGCATTGCCAAAGATTTTACTCATATTTGGACATAAGAATCTCAAATATCTTTCCAGATGCAGAAAAGACTGAGATGCCTTTTAACCTTAATCTTCGCTTAAAGTATATTTCTCTTTCACCACCCTTCTCATACCCTAACCTAAAGAAGCCAAACAAACAAAACCCACATACCTCTCCTATCCAGCTTCCATCCTCTTCCACAGTTACAGCTCTTCATCTCAGTCTTCTCATTACCCAGCTAATCTTTGTCTCCAATCCTTAGATCTTTTCATCTGAAACTCACTGCCTACCAGTCCCAGCTGTTCTCATATTGACTCATATGATTTCTCTATTTTTTCAATGTCTTTCCTATACTCAAATGGTCCTACTTGCCTTAGTAGCTCCAGAACTCCAGCTACAAAGCTCAAGCAACTCTAAATACATCATAATTCTCTACGGCATGAAAACTTGGCCAAATTTGGGTGAACTTTGATGTGAACGAAAGAAAAATATTCATGGTACAAAGACAACCCTCTGTCTGAAAGCAATGGTAATGCAACTCTTCATAGAAAAGTTCTTCACCCTTTCTCCTGCAAATAGTACAATTAAAACACTGGTGAGATGCAAGGAGTTCTTAAAATGCACGCTAATGATTTTTCTAAAAACTGTATGCTTTTTAAGTCTCAGGAGAAAATTAAGTTAATATTTTCAGAATATTAATTAAGTACTTCTAATCATATGTCTTTTGTAACAAACTCCACATTTCTTGTAAGGCAAATAGTTTCTAGTGCAGAAAACTATTTGAGCTTTACAGAAAATACAGGAGAACTGTTTACAGACATCTTATTTATTTGCTCAATTCCACATAGCAAGGGCATGACAGAGAACTCTACATCTGGCATGACAGTGAAACGGTTATCTGTGCCAACCAACACTGAAGGCTATATTTTGGCAAAAAAATTTCCACTGCTGTCATTTTTTCAAGAGTGTATTTATTTCTCTGAAACCAGAAAAGACAGCAACACAGGATCACAAAAAAAAATTACAAACTTCTTATGTAAATTAAAATTGCGTATTTCTTAAACAGAACAAAATTATTTAATTTAATAGTTTACACAAAGTTTCAAACTGTTGTAATACTATAAACATAAGCATAGCTTAAGAGTGCTGCATCACCTTCACATATAATTCCAAGAATTTTCTAAAAGTTATCATGCTCTTGGCTGTGTGGTAAATACCTCTTCCTACTCCCCCAGATCCAAATTCAACCTTGGAAAGATATAAAACACTTATGTCTTGAGGAGATTAAAATTAAAACACAAACCTCTAAATAAGTTCCCTGTTTTGACAAGTAAATTAACTTCTGCTCTACAAAAGCATAAAACCAAGAAAATTCAGAATTCAGAATGACAATCCGTCCTCCCTCTTCTCTTTTGTTTAGTGCCTCATACATTACAAAAACATCAGATTCAAGTTTGGATGTTCAAGATCATGACATTCCTGATTAAATTACTAAAAAAGGTAGTATGATGTAAGGCAATATGACTGCTTGACTCTTCAATGTTCTGTGTTTGTATTTTACACAGAAGTGAATAAACAGGAAAGTATTTAAGTTCTAATGTCTACTTAGAAATTTTATTTCCCTTAGATTTTAATATAAACTAAGCACCTATATGGCTTTCTTACATTGCTGCAAAATACTAACAATTCACCTAACATAAAACCTCAACACTCAAATACGTAACGTGATACAACTAGGGGGAAAAAAAAAAAAAAACAGTAGCAAAGTTGGTAGCTCCTAGCAAAGCCACATAAAATTGAGGCTGCAGTGAAGGGTTCACAGCTCAAAATGCATCACTGTTGTAACCCTAGCAATGTTTGGGAAGCAGCAGATGGGAAGCCATCACAGAGCGGTAAAGAGAATTCACCCCTCATCAGTGCAATGCTCCTCAAAAGACCATGTCACAACAAGTTACCATGAAAGATCATATAGAGGAGGGAATACATGTTATAAGAAAATAAAAAGCATAGGAGACTAGTCAATGTAAAAGGACAGAACTACTGAAAACACAGTGCAAAGTAATACTTTGCTGTTTAGAACAAATGCTGATATATCTATTCTCAGTAACAAGTTTCAAAGAAAGATGGAAAAACACGTCACTTTGAAACAGGCAGCAGCCACATTTGAACTAAATAAAAGAGAAAAGTCAAAGTTGCCTAAGGTGCCTAGTTGCACGATATAGCGACAGATAAATCCAAAGTACCCTACTGTGTCACAACTCCTAAAACGGTCTTTTTAGATAAAGTTTAACCTCAGTTTAGTCAGGACCATCAGAATACTTTTCAGAACAAAACATGAAAAAGATGTTAGAGCACTGCATACTTACCCAGCACAGTGAACTGCCTCTAACAAATTGCAGACTGCCAAGATACTTTGCAATGACTAGCCTTGGCCATTTATATTTGTAAAAAGCAACAAAATTAAATGTTTTTAAGATTTCTTTTTAAAAGGTAAAACTTGTATTTACCTGTGGTATTTCCCAGCATATCTTTAGTGTGGGAGATCAAATCTTCACTTTCCCCATCTTTGAAGTTGCCTATTTCTCCATAATAAAGAGCAATCCCAAGTTGCATTATACGTATAAACATAGGAAGCTGCTGATCAGAGATTGAAAGTTTCAAACTTTCAACTAACGTGTGAATCTATAACATAGAGATAGAGAACAAAAGCAAATAATAACAAAGCTCTGTCATCATTAAAGCCAACTTTTAAACCATATAACTCCATATTCATTTTGTATGTGCATTCTAATTTCTAAAAACAAAAGCTGCAATACAACACTAGGCAAAGGGCTGCAAACAATGACTGTCAGAAACATACACTCTTTGGGTTGCTACACAAGAGATCTTCACGTTGAAAAGTCAAATGTAATGTATTTCTTTTTTTAACTGAAGAAATTTCTAAAACGTAAGTCACATAAGTGCATCTGATTAAACTTTTATTTTCATTATAGAGTTTCATAAAAATCTCTGCATGCTAAAGAAAACCTAGATATACTGGTTTTAATATACAAGGTCCTTCACTTTGATTCTTTCCCACTCCCAACATTGTTGCAAGTGGACAAGTAACGGGGAGAAAAAGGATTCATTCCAACTGAAGTGCTGAAAACCGGCTTCTCTAGATATTCCAGTTCAAACATGCAATTAAGCAGTTTCTTCCAAATGAAAGCAAGCTTTGCAAAGACTGTAATTACTAGGATGAAAATTTATCCTTCTTTAAATATTTTAGCTATTTTATTCAATACTTCAGAATATTTTGAGTATGCAATCATGCAAAGACAAAACCAGACTTGATAAGAAAGCTACCTTTCATTAAAATAAGAGCAGCATAAAATAAAATTATTGTAATAAAATTACTGTCTGTAACATTACACATATTTCTAGCTCCAGGTCCTGCTTCTAAATATTGTGGGTGAAAGTAATGGAAATGGAAATTAACTGCACATCAGCATTGGCCTTAATGCAATCCAATTCAAGAAACATGAAAAATGACTTCGTAAACAGTAGTGCACATCCATGGGCAGGTAAAAACACAGTAGTAAAATAAATATTTGCATAAAAATACGCTAATATACTAATAAGACTTCACTAATAAATTTATGAGAGTAAATTAATGAAGCCACAGCCTTAGTTATACAGGAGTAGTGACAACATAGTATGACCCATTTATATAGACTAGAGGAAAGATTTTAGGTATCAGAATTCTGCTATTATTTAAAATTCTCCAAAAGAAAACAGCATGTAAAATCCTAAGATTCATTTTGGAAGTTAAAAATTAATCCTTCAATTGCTTGATTAAAAGTTGTCAATAATAGATCTTTTCTGTGCAGATGAACAACAGGAAGGATAAGGAATGAATAACTGTCTTAAGATTTGGAAGAAAAAAAAAGATTATTTTGCCAGAAGCCTTTTTAAAAGTCACTCAAGGGGCATATGTCATAGTGGAGGACAGGAACACGAGGTAGCACTGTAAGCAATGAACATAATTTTACAGTGGCTTAATTGAAATTATATTACACTCCTGGACTTCTTGTAGGGTACTACCCTCCCATCGTGATCCTGCTCTTACACTGCCAGTGGAACTCATCTGTCCCTCAGTAAGTTGACTTATCTCACTAAAACCAGTGCAAAACTATTTATTTCTTCTTGTCCAGTTAGCTTTCTGTTAACATAGTGAGTTGACTTAGATGACTGACAGGTCAGACAAATGTCAGTGCTGCTCCAAATAGGGAAGGCAAGACTGACATCCCCAGTGCAAGTCAGCTCATCTGTCTCATGGTTGTCTCATCCCATGATGATTTCAACAAGAAAAGCAACAAAAAGTTTAAAACTCTAATCATTCTATGTGTGTTTTGCCGCCTCCCCCACGTACACTATTTTCATTCTAAAATTAAAAATAGGAGCTTAGTGTTCCCAATTTAAAAGCATAAAAATACATATTCAGATACTTAAGAACTGTCCTCCTTTGAGAAGTCTCAAATTAAACTCATTAATTAGTTTGGCGAAAACTTTGCAATAGACATAGTAGTCAAAATTATACAGGTTATAAAAATACTCTAGTCCCTACAAAGAAACCAAAAGAGCATATGCTATGACAAACATGGAAGTCTTGGAAACTTCCACTCAAGACTGAAAAACAGATGTGCTTTACCAAGTGAACAACACAGAGTATGAAAGTTTCATTTATAAAGATCTCACAGATTTGGAAAGAAAGATTGAGTGCTGCTGGCTTTTGTCTTCAGCTGGGAAACAAACCACCAGACCACAAGGTGCTGGCATTTAGTAATCTACCCTTCAGACGCACTGAAGCTACAGTAATTTTATTTGCAGCAGAAACTTCTAAAAAGCTTTAAGCATCCTTGAATTAATTCCATCAATGAAGTAGTTATATTTACTGATAACAGCTCCTTTTACTTCAATTGCAAGAAAACACAGCTATTTCCATTCAATAGTTAAACATTTTAAAGACAGTCTTTTTAAAAAAACTGCATCCTGATGATCCACAGCACACAATCTCCATGCATACAACAAATCAGAAAATTATCAAACATAAAATTTGTGAGGGTCAACAGATTTGTAGATCTAATTGTTGCATAATGGTACGGTGGTGAAATACTAGAAAATATTTAAGATTTTAAAAATCATTATCTTTGGACCATTCTTCTTTGGATCATAATAAACAATTATTAATTCACTTAAATATTAATCTAGCATCATATATCTAAATGTTTTGATTTAATTGCGCACATTTCTGAATATCTTCATAATCAGTATTTTATGTTTAAAGATTGAAGGAAAAAGAAGAGAAAAAAAGAATAAACAAATTAAAAAAGAAGAAAAAGTGAAAAAGTAAACTATATGCAACATAACCAAAAAAAAAAATCAGAGTATATAGAAAACAAAATAAGATAAAAGACATCTTTGAACAAACAGAAATGTGCCTTAAAAAAGGGCAGGGGCAATAAATGACCACCCACAAAGATAACCAGAAAAGTTTAATACAATTTAATTAAATTACTACCGCCTCAGTGCATTCTAGTATGTGTTTTATTTTAGTCCAGCATCCACTAAATAATGTGAGTAATAATATAATAACAACAATAACAATAATCGTCATTTTTACAACGACAGTATCATTTTAAACTATATGGAAGACTCTGACAGCATTTCCATTAAAGTATGCTGTCAGAGACTTGTAATTTGGCCATAAACTTTTGCTCTGCAAAATTGGCATATAGGACTTCAGCTAGGTACAGATTACTTCTCCAAAATTTACAGAACTATTCAGCTAATTTAAAAATCAGGTTTTTTACCATTAAGATTTACTGTCTATATGCAGTAATTGTACTGTCACCACAGAACATAAAGACCATAACTGGTAAACTATAGACAGTGATATGATAATTCCTTATTATCACTGGAGTTCATATAGATTCTGAAGTTATAAGGCACGTGGTTAAAAGTCCTAATATCACTGAATATATAACTTCTTGTTTATGAAACTCAAAATAAGCAAATTTCCAAAATTGTTACCAGTTACTCTGAACAAAAAAAAAAAGAAGAAAAACTTTTCTTTCTAATATGCAGAAACAGTCTTTATATATTTAATTATTTAATTAAGAGCCATACATGAAAAAATGAAATTTCTGTAAACATAGGTACTACCAGACATTTGTGTGCAAGTAGCCAGCATTTTGTGACAATTCTTATCTGGATAAATACTCATATGGCCATTACCATATCCACAAATCTCCAAATTTGCCTGAAGTAATCAAAGGCATACAGCTGTACAGCACATACAAGAAATAGGGGCATTTGACAAATTGGACATGATTACTAATTAACTCCCAACCTTAAGTTCACAACAGCTTAGGACTTCCTGAATCATATCATGAGTCAAACAAACACAGTATCCCAACTGAAAGAGTGACACTTCTAAATTATATTCTTGAGAAATGCCCATCAAAATTTATCTTAAAATTGACTATTTTGTGGTGCATACACCACACGTGAAGATTATTTTTTATTAAAACTTGGTGTTGTGGTTTAACCCGGCAGGTAGCCAAACACCACACAGCCGCTCGCTCACTCCCCCCTCCCCACAGTGGAGAGAACTGGAAAAAGAAAAGTCAAATTTGTGGATTGAGATAAAGACAGTTTAATAGAACAGAAAAGGAAGGGGGGGGGAAGATAGAATATACAAGATGAGTGATGCACAATGCAATTGCTCACCACGTGACGACAGACACCCAAAAAAACGATTGCCCCTTCCTGGATCATGCCCCCTGTTTATATAATGAACATAACGTCACATGGTATGGAATACCCCGTTGGCCAGTTGGGTCAGCTGTCCTGGCTATGCTCCCTCCCAGCTTCTTGTGCACCTGGCAAAGCATGGGAAGCTGAAAAGTCCTTGACTAGCAGGGTACTTAGCAACAACCAAAAACATCAGTGTGTTATCAACATTCTTCTCATACCAAATCCAAAGCACAGCACTAGGAGAAAATTTAACTCTATCCCAGCTGAAACCAGGACACTTGGGAATAAGCCTGGTATAAAGTCTGTGTCTTAATTTAAAAGAGTTCTCAAGTAATTAAATGGGCACCACTGGTATTCGTTGAGAGAAGGAGGGAGGGAAGATAAACCTTACATGTATAACTACTCAGAGCTGGGAAAAAAAAAAAAGTAGGAGTGAAAGGTAGTTTAGTCTCTCCACCAACTCAGCATTTTGCTTCTGCACTGCAAAATGTAAACATATCACCTAGTGTCAGATGTCGAGTAATATTGCACCCCTGCTCACTAGGAACTGAGCTTGGCTTGCTAATCCATTTCACATGGTTCACTACATAGTGTTAATACACTGAAGTTTCTTCTTATTTATAAGAGTTTGAGCTACATTTGAAATAATAACATAAGTAAAAAATCCTTTCCATCTTATTGCAAGCACCTTAAAGCTTACAGGTTTTTTTTTTCTTTAACAGATTATCTGCAGACATTTTTTTTCCTTACAATTATTACGCTTTCTTTTTTAAAACTTCAGGAAAAAGAGAAAAGATTAGAGAGCATTACTTCCTTACTTATGTGCTGTTACTGTACATAGACTAATTGCATTAAATGAACAAAACACAATCAAAAAATCCCTTTAGCAAAAAGCAACAGCATTAGCTTTTCATTTTACTTTACATTTCAAAGTATATTTTTAAAAATCTCAAACCTTCACAGCTGAGTAGTAAAAAAAAATTATTTTGGATACCTACTTTAATAATAGATGGCATTTTGGAGTTGAGGTTATCATAAGTAAAATGCAGGCGAGTCCTGAAGGAACATTTGTACAGCAGAGGTTCCTGGTAAAATTCAATTTTACCACTAGCATTTCTCTTATCGAGACATACTGTGCAGTCAGAAAAGTTGATCATCTTTCTCAGTACCAAATCGGTGGCTTTTAAAAGAAGTATATAGGTTAAAAAAAAATATATTGCATAAGAAAAATAAGTTATGCATACATGTTGTTATCTAGAAGAAAACAATACAAGACAGTTGTGTGGTCATTATTTAAATCATCAGCAAAGTACTTGCTAATGTGACTAAAGAGAATAATTTAATATATCACAGACTTTTCCAACTGAATACTTAAAAAGTGAGGACAAATTAGTTATATCCAATTCAAATTTCATCCCTCCAGCGTATCTTAGATCTGCTTATAAAATAAGAGTACTGTTTCACGTGCAAGCATAAGACCAATAAATATTATTCTCGTTATTCTCCCAGAAAGAATCTTCCATATTTTTCCCCAAAGTTTTCTTTTGAATCTTCCAAAGCAAGTAAGAGCTATTATACTGATCTTAACATGAAACATATTTTGTAATTTGGTCGTATTAGTTTGTAATAATTTTAGCCAGAACAAAGAAATGGGTCCAGTGGTCAGGAAATCATTAATTAAATTCCCCATTCTACCGGAGATCATCTGTGTGATCTTAAAATACTCTTACTGTGCCCAAATTCCACCTCTACCAAATATCAGTAAGAAGGTGAACAGGTGAACATTGGTAATTCAAAGACTGAGGCATTCAGGTACTGAAGACCAAGATAAAAATCAAAAAGTTTCAGGGAAAAAAAAGCTCCAAATGTGAAGCGAAACGAAGCACGTCTTGCAATTGGTATGCCATGCTCACTACAGTGCAGCAGGTTTTACTACCTCTCTAGCCAGCCTGTTTAGAGACTTTTTAGATCATCACAAACCATTGCAATGGAATGCCTTAAGATGCTACTGCTCATTCACAAAAATAGAAACAGATTGCCTAAGCACTTACTGACAGCAGCAAGCACAAAATGAAATGCAATCACAGAAGGATGGCAAGTATGATCAGAGAAGACTACAAAACATGTTGTATAATTATCTGTGATCATACAAGTATGCGTTAAGACTCAATCTATATTATTATAATTGGCTCTTCAAAATGAAGGACAAGGGAAAAACTGGTAAGAAATGAAAACAGCAGAAAGTATCTTACTTCTGACATAAAGAGCCATTATTATTAGACATGCAAATTTCTATATGAATTTAAGAGTGCCTCCACTGTGCTAACTAAAACCAAAAAATGTCTACTCACCAGAGATGTCCATAAATGCTCGATCCCAAAACTCATCCACTGTATAGCATTCTGCAGAAGTGATATTAACTGAGAGAACAATATCATCCTCCACATATTTTAATATGAGATTGTTGATCACAATGTTGACATTGTTTACAACACGCCTAATCAAACTCTGAACATAACCTATAAAATAAAATAAATTCTTAGGAGTTATAAGGAAAACATGATGCCAAATTCATTAATTACTGAAGTCATTATTTCCAACTTGTATTCTTTTTTAAAATCAAAATTAAAACAAACCAAGTATCATTGTCCTTTATTTATCAAAAAAATCACAGGACTTAAAACTCTTTAACATTCAGTGCAGTTAAGTCAATGGGCATCTTGGAAATGCAATGAACTATAGAAAAAAAAAATTGTAAGTACTAGGAATATAATACAGCATAGGAGATTAATTTTTGGTGGCAAGAATCAACTTTCAAACTAATTAAGAAAACAGAAGACTCTGGATTATTGTAGACAAAGAATTTTAATGACAGTGACTTTTTTACTTGAAAGATATTTGGAAAGAGGTTGGAAAAGTGAACACCAGTTGCTAAGTTACTTTTCAAGTATGCATATATTACGCCTATTTGCACCCTCACCCAGATTTTTAAAAGTTAACTAAACGTTAATACGCTTACTACTTTTTTTCATTATAAAAGCTAATCTATCCACATCATGCTCGGTAAGACCCTTGTGAGGTATAACAAAATCAGTTTCTGTCAACAACCCAAATAGTAAGCACCTGCACCGAAGCCTGTTGGGAAGAAATCCATTTACATTTTTTCAGACATAATGTGATTGGAAAAATGATCTCATCTGTGAATTCCCAGTATGTGGTAAACACTCATATTTTACCAATATGGTAAAGAAATTAAATACTACCCATATTCATGTCTTTTATGTATACTGAATGTAACTATGGAGCTAACTCATTTGTGCTGGAAAAAAAACAAGTCTTAAAATTTCTATGTTTTAAAATTTATAACATTACTCATGTTCTATCTAAAAATACATATAATACATGCTATAGAGGTCTAGCTTGGTAACTACGTTGAAAAAAAAGCCAGTTAATGATACAGGTTTAAATCCACAGTCTTCAGGAGTAGTTTTCCGAAACTTGCATTAAATAAGACTGATTTATATCAACAATTTTAATTCAGCTAAAACTTAAAATGAACATCAAAACATTGTGAGATCAGTAGGAGCAGACTCAGGTTGCTACTTCCATTCTGCTCATCTTTTTCTAGCTATTCATCATTTTCATGCTCAAATATTACTTTTCACCGTACAGTATATGGAACGTTTTACCATTACATAAGTGATTTTCTTGAGTTCCACAACTGCAAATTTACACAGTTGACATAAGACGTTTTTCCTTTTTCATCATTCAAAGCCGCCAACCACCTCTTTTATTAAATGCAAAACATGCTTTCAGCTACCATTAGCAGAATATTTTGATTCTGATCGGGTACATTTCTATGTTTTAAAAGTATTTCATTATTAAAATCTTAACTGCAAAACACATATCACATTTCTTATCATAACTCAGCTTGCTTCATTGTATACTATTCTTGAGCATACATCACCCTTTGAGCAAAGCTAGTTCCAGCAGGACAGAAATAGCATTTCAACATCTCCTGCCATCTTAACAGGATTGTAATTGTATTAAAACAAAATCTGGAAAATGTTTTAGACCATTATCTACAGAAACAGGAAATCCAGAAATGCAGTGAAAGTCAAAATTTTGACAGCTTAGTACTGTCAGATTTCTAACATAGTCTGAAATTACCTTTTTAGGATATCAATCTAAAAAAACTACTGAAAAATATGTGGAATAACTTGTTTTTAGGAATTTTCTCACTGATTTCTTAAAACGGTAACATATTTTTAGGTTATATTAATTCAGAAATCCAGATGTATTATTTCAATAATTAAGGGGCATAAGAGACCCATATTCATCACCAGAGTGGTGTAAACTGACCTGTATATAAACAGAAGCCAGCACAAAGCATTTAGTTGCTATTCTTAAGTTCAGCATAGAAATATTTTGCAGACTATATAACTAGCAACTATAAGATCCTAACTAGTAAATTTAATTATTATTTTAAAGCAAGCTACTAATTTCATTGAAGAAAATGAAGCTGTCCCTCCACAGGTCCAAGGTTTTTTCAATATTTTGCTTTCAAGGGTCTTTCAAAGTCAATCTAATTTACATTTTCCTGCTGTGAACTACAAAAACATTACAAATCCAGCATCATAGCAACAAACAAAACAAACAAATAAACAAACAAAAAGCCAGTTCTACTGATAGTTTCCAGCAGTATTCAGGAAAAGAGCAACAACACTTTCGCCTGTGTGTCTTTTTGCCTGAATGCATAAAAAGAAGGAGCAGAATTATATCTTCCAAATGAAACAGGGGTCCCGGATTTGATAAAAAACTTTGTTTCACACTTCTGCAAAGACGTTTCCAAACTAGTGGTGCAGTATGTTGTTAAAAGTACCATACAGGTACCAGGTTTCTAATTAAGTTTAGGTTCAAATATACTAGAATCAGATTCTCATGAGTGAGGATCAGTCTTTTAAGAAAATGAATTTAAATTGTAATTCTTACTATTCAAAAAAAAGTAATAAAAACATTAGCAAGTTCATGTATAATACAGTTTGAAAAAAAAAAAGGTTTTGTTTTAAATACAAGTGGGAGAAAACAGGTGGGGGTTGCTTCTTATTTCTGTAATTTTTAAATATAACACTATGACCATCTTTGCCACTAAAATTCAGGTATTCTATGATGAAGTGACTAAAAATACTAGAAAATCTGTAGGGGTAAATTCTCTCCTGAGGTACAACACAAAATCCAGATGTATGCTTTTTTTAAATTCTCCAGAAGCCAGCAGGCTGCACTGTGCAGGAAGAACTACGAAAGCAGTTTCAGATCCAACCCTCCAAAATATTGTAGCACTATAGTCCACAGAGTGGTCTATTGATTCAACAGAATTGATATCATCCGACCAGTCACATCTAAACATCTCAGCAGTGCTATATTGTTACCAAAGCTACACTTTTAGCTAAGCTCTGCCTAGCTCCATCTCCGAGAACACTGCAGAGCTAAAGGACAAATAAATCTTTCAACAAATTACAACAGTAGTATGATACCTATATCCTCCAAAGATTAACACAAATATAAGCAGATGACTCAACATCTTACTAAAATCCAGGCTGTGCAAATTCAAGCTTAGCAAAGCCATATCCTGTACCACAGAGAATAAAATCCTCCTATAAGGAGGCCTCTACTCCTTGTGGAGGCTGTTTACCACATAGGACCTCTATATTAAACAGTGTTGTTTATGCATCAAAAACCAAAACCAAGACCAACTGTATTTAGAGAACTACACCACATGGAAAGTAACTTACAGTCCATTCAATAAGGTAAGATTTCACTAATGCTCTCTGAATTATTAGACTTCACTACCAACATACTCTACGCAGTTGAAGAAGGAATGTGATCACAATGAAGGAGGTGATAGTGACCTACAGCTTCACAGAAGCACAAAGTACATCTACAGAATCTATCAAATAGTAATATAAGAAGGTACCAGATCTGATAATCTGCTACAATACTGCAAATACAATATGTGCAATTCGTATGACCACCCTAATCATTAAGAACTAAAATGTACTCATAAAAGATGACACGCAAACCAATTTTCAATGCGCATGTTGCATCTGGATCTGTGGAAACACATCTTTCGAAATGTTTTAACTTCATCAGATGTCAACATTACAATAAGCAGACCTCCAGCCTTTCACTAAGACTACATCCTTCTGGGTGGTCCGCAGATAACACTGACAGAAACAAACTTGAGGAACCAAAATCCCAAAACTGTCATTGAAGGCAATACAATCATCCAATTCTTTGGCAAGCCTTTAACTCCTGTTGTTCACAGGTGGGACCCAAAGAACCAAATGCCAAGGAACTGCCAGAGCTGAAGCGCTGTCCATGGTAGGACACAATGGATGCCAAGAGTCCTGCAGTTCCAAGCCACCAGAGTTTATTGGATCTCAGAGCTTTAAGAGAGCCTCCAGAACTGGTTCAAGTACCCATTCCAAAGCAAGATGATACTCTGTAGTACATAATATTCCACACACTAAATTTCAATGTTCTCTTTTGATTCGAGGCAAGTATAAACTTTCTGTTAACAAAAGACAGCAAAAAAGCCTAACACAAAACTGTCATGTCTTTAACATCTAGAATTACATGCCCCAAGAAGGCGAATTGCAATTCATTCCAGTACTCTCCAATTTCATTTTTCTGCACAAAACAACACCTCATACTCCAAATTTCTGTGCAAACTCAGAGGCAACAGTAATCAGATATATAGTTCCTTAGGCATTTCTATATCATATAAATATCTCCAAGTTCAACCGAGCCGAATTCCACGTCGGGGGGGGCGGGGGGGGCGGGGGGGAGGAGAAAAAAAAGAAAAAAGTGGTGAACATCTCTACCAGTAGATACAGGACTCAATACGTAACATCTCTCAGAATTATTACTCTCATAAAGAGAAAACCTTACCTTTAAAACTATTATAAGAATCTGAAAACAAAATGTCTGAAAACATACAAGAAAAGAACTTAATGTGAACCACTGAGGAGTTAATGAGCAGTAGAAAACAGTGATCTGAAACAGGAGAAACAGAGCAGCAGAGGATAAAATCTAATACACTACCCCTATAGGATGTTTCTCATGCTAATCTATCTTGGACTACAAATGAATTCTGTAAATTTAAGGATTCAACAAAATGGAAGGAAAGAGATAAGGATTAACTATGTTTTATTGCAATTTGGTTCTATTTTATAATGTTCAAGTATTTCACTTACCTTTACATGATTTGTAGGTGGAAAGAGTTATAATAGTCTAACTTAGACATTGTGGCCACTTGAATGAAATTTAGGTATTTTCTATCACTCAAATACAATCCAGCTTCTGAAATTATGGATTACCTGGAGGTAAATCGGGGTCAGGACAAGCAGATTGCTGAACTCGTCGTGGTTTTACTGCTGATTTCATGCTTTCCGTGGTACTGCGGTTTGTTGAACTGGAACCACAACTTTCCTGGTCTTCCTGCTAGAGGAAAAGAAAGCAACTGAGTCAACCAAACAAGAAGAAAATAAATGTAGGGAGAATGACTTGGTAAAGATTTGGTAAATTAAACTTTTGTTACAGTTTTTCCATCAATTCAAACCTGTACATGCATCTAACTACAGAAATTATTACAAAACTAGCTGGACAACATAAAAATTATTTGCAATTAATACTTTCACTAACTTCTATTAAAAAAACAATCTCAGTCATTTAATTACTAATTTCAACTGAACACATTTCATCTAGCTGCATTTCTGCTGAAACATTCCTTCAAACAGAGACAGAGCCCTGCAGACTACCAAAACAAATATGAGAAACGACCGAATTTTATGAGCTTACATGCCTACTCATGAAACCACCTCAGACGGTTCCAAGATGTCAGAGTCATGTCCTTCCTAATACAGCTAATTGAAGCTGATTCACAAAGCAAAATATTTTTGCAGACTTCTAAAACAGTAAAACATGGCCCCAGAAAAGATAAATTAACTGAGGGCACCTGCTCATCTTGAGCTTCTATATAACTTATTCACCTTAAGGAATTCAGAAGCAGGAAACATGGCTCATAATTAGAGAATACGATATAAGCCTTACAAGATGAAATTTGCAGACACAAGAAAATCTTAACTATCTGAATTTAGAATTTTAAATACCCCACTAATATTCCCATTACATTCCAGAATGACAGTTTAACTACAAGACTGAAGTGCAAGAAAGCCAAGAAAAGTAATGCAAATTTCTTGTAAGTGTATTAGAAGAGCAGCTTACAGAGGCAAGCAAATTCTTACAACTTTTGACCCAAGCCAAATTATCTCTTCGTTAGAGAGCAAAAAAGAGCGAAATGCTCTCTGGGTCATGGCACTACTAGGATTACACAACGTGTTCACAAAAAGCAGGGTTCAGGGAACAAATGTCAAGTACTGCAGTATGAAGCTATGATATTTTTAAGTTCTCTAACCACCACAAAGCAAATGGCTTAAACTGTGCTGGGTTTTTGTACAGGATAGATCATATGTTTCCCTGCATGCTGCCTTGTATTTTTAATAATCTCAGAGAAATTACAAAATGGAATCTTTACATTACTTGCTTCCTAATATTTTTTGCATTAAAAAAAAAGAAAAATTAAGTTACGTGTAATGATACATTTTAAATAGAGGTCTACAACTTCAAAAACAATTGAAGAGAGAGTTTCTTTTCTTCCACTCCATATTTAGAAAAACAGAACACAGAGGGAAATTCTCTGATAAAGTGGTAATATCATTTCACTAAGAAAAAAAGATGATGAGCAATATAATCTTAGCCTGGGGGGGAGGGGGGGAATAGAAGGTGGAACTTATTTGCAGAAATTGCAGAAGACAGACCGATTCATACATCAGAAGGGTAAAACATAGCTTCTAAAAGAAGGATGAGTTACCATAAAGGATTTGAAATTTTCCAGTCATAAATACAGTATTGAAACAAGCTGTTTGTTGTTCTTTAATTTATGATTATTTGGCCATTTCAGTCATACAGGACTTTCCCATTCCAGTGCATGAAGAAATGAAATGGGTGTTTAGCATCAACTCTGTTTGGAGGGCATTTGTTTGCTTTCTTATCTCTGACAACTTTCTGATGCTTTTCATCAAGGAATGTGAGTCTCCTGAACTCTCTCAGAACTTCTAACTATGATGCAATTTCATTAGAAAACCACCACTCTCTTCATGGCATACCCGAGCAATAATGACAGCTTGAAGCTCTTGCTTTATCTTTAAACCTGGGGTGACAGAAGCCTCTTCATCAACATGTATATTTTGTAATCAGCAAAGCTCACCTCTCCTTCACATCTCCAGCTGAGAAAAATCAGATCATAGACTTTTAAGCTAAAATTTTTGAAATAACTTTTAACCATACCCTCTTTCTTGGAAACTAGTTCATATGTAGCATGAAAATATTTTTTCAGATGAATCACAATACTGCTATTTATGTTTTGAACTTGCAAAAAAACCTAAGATGTCAGAGTGACCAAACAGCTCAATTAGCACATTTCCTTCTTTCCTGAGCTAACTTATGGATTGTACAGAATGCTGTGGTGCGACTATTTAATGACTTGATCTGATAGGATCACATTACGCTTGCCTTTTAATATTTATGTTGGCTATGAGAAAAAGAAAGGGGGGCCAGAGGGATAGGGAAGGCATTCTATTTTTGAAGTGTTAACTGTATCGAGCCTGACTACATTCAAGTCTAACTTTTCTATCTGTGTACTGACATGACCATGTATGATGAATCTTCTCATAACTTCATGCAAAAAAACTATGCGATGCTTTATTCCTATACAGTATTACTAACACTTAAAGATGAAATAAGAGTGGTTTAAGCTTTTACCACTTTCAAAGAGTTAGGAATACAGACTAGCACACTGGGTTTTGGGGGCGTTGGTTTGTTTGTTTTAAAGGAAAGGGGAGGAGAACCCTTAGATTGCATTAATTTTGAAAGAAAGTCTCAAATCTTACCCTATAAATAAATTCAGTACAATAAGCTTTTTGTATTTTCCTGAGCTACAAGTCTGTTGTGATGGAAAATGGTTGCAACCACTTCGAGCAAGTTGGACCTAAATGTAATCAAAACAAAAATATACATGTTCCAAGATGGTGTCAAAATGCAACACATAAAAATTTAACTCTGAAATATACCTATGTGACTTAATCCACATGAAGTAACAGAGTATACCTACATTTAAGAAGAATTCAACCTGACCAAACATTTGAAAAAAGTTTTTTTAATCTGGGATAACATCCATTCATTTCCTTACATTACACAATTATCAAAAAGATTTTAGAGCTGCATGGGGTTTTTTTGAGCGTGAACACACACCATTTTTCACAACAGCTACTGATACTTTGTAAAGTAAATGTTGTATTCTTTAATTACCAGAAGATGATAACAGTGGCCATGACCTTATAGGAACTACATTCCTATGTAGACGTATATCCAAAAGCTTTCTGTATCTGCATGCTTCTGCTCAATGTTAACTTTAAGAGCACTATTAATTTCTCAAACATGTGGCTGTCTCATAAGCCCAGAAGTAAAACATGTTCATTAAAGAGATGGGAAAAAGTTCCAAGCGAACTGCCAAAACTAGCATAATTATGAAACTATTTAACACTGGAACCAACTAGAGTCACACACTGTATCTAGATCACAGTGATGTCATCAGAAACACCCAGCCAAAAGGCACTAAAACTACTGCGCTCCCATAAATCCACCTCACACCAGATGACAAACATTTTAAAGTTAAAGTCAAAATTATACTGGGGGTGGGAAGGGAGTTACATTCTAAAGGTGCTAATAACTATAGTTACGAGATTTGATAAATGCCCGTTCATTTTAGCATTAACGAGACTGATTCCAAACAACAGTCACAACAGCAGAAAACTAAAAATACTCATGATGTATCTAGAGAGATGATTTTTAAAGAAAATAAGACTTTTTTACAAAAATATCTTTTCCCACTAGCTTGTATCATAAGTAAAGCCTAGAAAACTTGAGGTCCTGCTTATGGGAGTTGTTATACAAATGTACCTTGGATCAAGACAAATAAAAGTTTGCACATCCAGGCTCCTTTTTCCCTTTTGGCAAACGTGTCAAACCAGGTACTCGGCTGAAATATTTTTATAGAGCACTATGGTTACATCTAAAACTACGCAAGTCGTAAGTAACATGCTAAAGACACCTAGGCTAGTAAATTTACATGCACATTCCTCAGTCAATTTTCTACTGCAATATAAAACAGTTATTGCAAGGTTTAAAGCGAATTACAATTGGCAACACCTGAACATATACTAGATGAGATTTATTATGATCTTTCCTAACAAGTGGAGTTTATTATCTTTGTTCATTATTCTGTTTTCCAAATTTGAAATACATAGTTCTTTTTCTCTTTAAAAAGACACTTTCTCTTTTTAAAAATACATAAATCCTATTTAATGTGCAAGACCTCCAAAATGCCTCATAAGCATGCTTAATGGGAAAAAAATGTTTCCTCTTGGGGAATCACTTAGCTATTCATGCAAATATTGTCCCTCTGCTTTCATCAAATCAAGTTAAGACAAAGAAAACTGAGTTCTTTAAAAAAAAAAAACCACACCACACAGGAAAATGTGTAAAAGCAGTGACCACTACGAATTAAAATTTTAAAACCCAAACCGATCCTAAGTACCTACTGCACAAACTTGCAGAGAGTTTTCCATCACCGTTCTCTCTCTTCCTCTACAAAATTTCACTTTTTCTGATCCTTTGCCATTTCTAAAACAATGAGCTTAATATCCTTTACAAGTCAGTAAGAGAGACATATTTCTATTTCTGTAAAGCATATCTTAAATCGCAAGATGCAAAAACTGCAAGAGAGGAACTCATTTTCCACTAGCGGACTGTGCTGGCTGAGTAGTTAGTTGCCTGTGGCAAGACTAAAAGTAATATTCTGAATATATTCATTCTAGTAAGGCCTTTGACACAGTCTCCTACACAGACCTTATTCCCAAATTGGTGAGATATCACCTGGATAGTGGGAGGTAAGTTGAGTGAAAAAGTGGCTGGACAGCTGGGCTAAGAGGGTTGTGATCAGGGGTACAAAGTCCAACTGGTGGCTGGTTACTTGTGGCATCCTTCAGTGATCAGTACCAAGCCCATGGTGTTCAAAATCCTTATTAAAGACCTGGAAGATGGGATAGAGTGCACCCTCAGCAAGGCTGTGTGGATGGTACCAACCTAGGGGGAGGAGCCAATGCAGTGGTGGGCAGGGCAGCTATTGATAGGGACCTTGAGAGGCTGAAGACATGGGCTGTCAGGAACTCCGTGAAGTCCAGACACAAATGCTAAGTGGTGCACCTGGGATGGAGGTACTCTGTGTAACTGTACAGACTAAGAGCCAAATTGCTAGAAAGCAGCTTTGCAGAAAAGAATCCAAGGGCCCCAGTGGACAGCAAGTTGAACGTGACTCAGCAGTG